TATGCTCATGTCATCGAAAATCACGATCACCTTTTCTTAGGTAGCACTGAAACCAAATGGAAATGAGAATTGTAAATGTTAAATGGTTAAAAATTCAGGTGCCCCACCGTGTGCGTGTCCAAATGACACTTAATTTATCTAACATTTTCGTTTCCCTGCGGTCATCGAGTTAATATTTGATCAAAGTCCGCAACTATTTACCTTGTTTTTTCATGTTTTGTGTGGCAATCGCTAAACAAGTGTCTGCCTGGGTTATTTTTTTATTCCAGCAACCCTTGAGAGTTAAATGTTTCAGATAAGATAATTTCGGTTATCCTTTTTACTGATAGTTTTAGGTAATATTTTTGTTTGGACAGATTGCCTGGGTATGTTGGCGAACATTAGGTCTTTCAATGGGTTTACCTTGGTAAAAGGTGTAATGTGTTCTGAGTTCTTTGCAGGTGAACTTATAATTTATATATAATTTTATCCTTTTGCATTTCTAAGAATTTACTTAAAATAAAATATCTTTTTTAAATGTTTTTGCTTGAACATAATACCCATTAGTTCTGCGTTCGAATTGAGTTGAATTTCAAAAATTGTTAACGATCATTGTTCTGTTCCCTTGTCAGATGGGCAACATCTTTATCTTTGGAAGAAAAGGCTCTCGATAATCATGGGTGTAGGCATTCGCATCCCCTTAACTCTATTGTACGCAAATCTGCACCAAATTTATGCAAATTGAAATTCCTGAGCAACACCTGGAAGGCAGAGACAATTGTCCGGATGATGAATGTGCTGCAGGATTGTTTTCTTCTTGTCGTTATATATATTTTTTGGTTTTGTTTGGTTTTCCTAACCAGAACAGGCCAGACATCTTGGCGCGGCGAGTACGAAACTGTAGCAAAAGGCAAGGTGTCAATTCTGGGAAATCTGCCCAGCATGCAGACAATGCCCAACTCCACGGGATATCCATAGAGCCTCCTTGTGCTTCACCTCCAGCCAGTTGGCCAAGAAAATGGTTATGGACATGTCTTTGGTGACAATGGCAATGTTTGGAGGTGAGATCAGGTGAGGCTCGACTGTTAGCTGGCCATAACGAAGCACAGACAACATTATTGTCATCGGGACCAGCAAAAGTAGTCCAGTGGGCTGTGGGAGAATCCTCTAGTAGCGCTCCAATTTACTCCGACCTCCACTCACTTATTCTTCTTCCCACCAGCAATTTGCATTTGCAGGTATTTTCCTACCTTTTCCCCCAAGCTAAAAATCACTTTGTTCGCTCTCCATTGCACTTGGCATTGTGGGGACATTTATTTATCTAGTAAATGCGGATGATTTTGCATAATTTATAAGGTTGAACCAAGCTTCTGGTTCTGCAGTGAGTTTTTTACTGTTGTAATGCAGTTTTATGTAAAATATATAAACGTTCTTATACTGAAAATTATAAATATTGAAAGGAAAATCGAAATATTTTCACAGTCAACTGTATTTTTTGCGGAGAGATTTCTTTTGAATGCTTTTAGATTTTGTTAGAAATTTAAAGATATTTATCTTAACAAAAACCAAAACGCACTTGTTGATTTTTAGAAATAAAAAGGAAACTACTAACAATGCAATTCCTGTGACCTGTCCCGTAGGACAATGCCAAACTCAATGGGGTGTTCTGGGAACGGAAACGAAGTCCTGTTCGAAATAAATTAGAAGTGAAAAAATAACAAACCTGTTGTAGGTGTCCTTTTCGCAGGCGTGTCAATTTACTTCCGCATCTCTTGAGAAGATTAAAAACAAAAATAAATCGCATTGCAGGTGTTCATGCCACTCCGCTTGCTATTACTTTGGCATTAATTACTACCTAAATTGCTGATAATTGAAACATTTCCATGGCCTGTCTGCCATTTCCATAAGCCAAATAGATCGCTTCCTCCTCTGACAGATGGGGGCTAACATTTTCAAATGCCCACGCCCACTTAAGTGGGGAGGAAAAACCAGTAGCAAACTGCAAAACTGCTGCTGGGCTGTGGTTACAATCAAAACCATTAGCGGCCACAAAGTCCACGTCGTCGTCGTCATCATCATCATCATCGTCGTCGTCGTCGTCGTAAAGCGTTTCCATGGCCAAGATTGATCATCGGGCTGGGCCTGAGCTCATCCATTTTTTGTTTCTTGTTTTCTTTTTATATCTTTTTTTTCAGCTCCTCTGCCTTAGCTTTTTGGCCTGCCCAATCAGCCACACCCACAAGATGTGCAACGTTCATATTAAAATGGCTTAAAAAGGCAGCAGCCAGCGCTGAAAGTGGCAAGACAGTGCAATAACAACGGCGACCCGCAGGAGATCTCCCAAAGATGCCTCGCTTCCGTTCCAGCTGCAAGGTGTGTGGCAGCAACAAGGCCCAAACGGTAGCCCCAACTTCCACTGCCACCGAAAGCGCAACAATTGGCAATTTCATTTGCTGCGCCCCCAAAACGCAGCTCAAACAGGTACGCAAAGCCGCTGATGTGGATATGGTTGCTGGTGGGTCTGGCAGGGGACAGTAGAGTCTCCATAACAGAGACTGAAATTGTGGTAAGTCTTATCACCTTAAAGTTGATTACATTTATGTAAGTAGGATGGGATGTTACTTTATACTAAAAGTAAAATAAATACCTTAAGTTCACTTTATGCTGTAGCTACTGTACTAAACTTGGCATGCTCCATTCAAACTTTCTACGACTGCGACACGCTGTGATCTCTATGAACATAGTCTACAAGGCGGTGGGATAAATGGATAAGGTGGTAGAGGGGAGAGCTCCGTGTGCAGTGCATAAAAGCTGGCGGTGCTACATCATCGTCAAAACCGTCGAGTTGCGACTTCGATTTCCTGTGCCTGGATTGACGTCTCCCAGGTCACTTGCCACAACGTTTGGCTGCATTCGTAATTGCTCCGCAGCGAAATTTCCATATGATAATATTTATTCGCTGGAATATGCCTCCATCTCGAGTCGGTTCAACTGCATCTGTCTGTCCTGATGGAGGCTACGCCTGCGCTCCACGCAACACTCTTAATCACTGAGAAAAAAAGCTTTGTAGTTTTTAAAGTATTACGTAGGCTACTTGGAAAATAGATATCTTATTGACTGAATCAGAACAAAAAGTGAACTACTTTTATAGATATACTATGATTCTCAAGATTTTCTCTCTGTGTGTATTTGCTTTTGTTGTCTATTTGACACTGCGCAGGCGGCGAGGATGCTCTGCATCCAACTCCAAGCTCCACCTCCAAACGGCTAACTCAAACTCCGATTCCACGATGTGTGGGTGGTCGTTTGAATGCCCTGCCCGGCTGCAAGTCTTTCACCCGACTCCCAGCGTCGTGTTCGCATTTTTTTTTTGTATTTCCATTTTCCATCTTTCGGAAAGGCCAATGCTTCCACTTCTTCAATCGATTTGAGTTTTATTATCTGGTTGGCATTTTAGTTGAATTGTTAGCTTAGTTTATGCGGTTCGCTCCTCGGAAATGGCAGGCGGACGTTTTCCCGGCCATGTGTGGATTATGCAAGGCGTATGGAATCTGCATTTTCAACTGTTGTTGGGTGGCATATAACATGGTTCGTGAAAGACAAGGAAAACTAAGAAACAAGAGTTGAAAAAGAGAATTAAAAGGGTTTTTAAATTAAAATAAACTAATATTCTTTATTACTAAACTGGATGTACAGTTTCTTTAGGCAAATTAAGGAACTTTTCCTTCGAGCAAATTGCACCTTGCCTTGAAGTTAAACTCCAATGACACCATCAAACCACCCGCAGGAATTTATGGCAGTAATAGCTACCCCTATAAGTAGGGAGAGGGCACGAAAATTTACAAACTAAAAAATATAAACAGGTAATTAGGTCAACGCCGCGTCGAGTGTCGCCGGCACGCGTAATGAACCTGTTCGGGAGTTGAGTTAGCCGACAAAGACACTCCGCCTTGCATTTCTAATAAATTTCTAGCCGGGCCGAGAGACGTCAAAACAACACGCGTCGCTTTGCTCCTGGAAATGTCAGGTACGAGGCAGCAATTAAATATGCGACCCAGCACACCCTTATACTCATTGTTGTTCTGTTGTTGGCCACGACGATGATGATCTTTAGGGCCAGAAGTTCAGTGGTGCACGGAAATGTGCGGGACACGGCGACAGGAGACTGTCGCGCGTCGCTGTTTTAACTAATATCCGCTCACCCCGACTGGCGGCGGGTATTTTGGGCTTTGGTGTCTAGGACTGAGGCAAAGAGGGCATTCCATCAGACCGCCTCCATTTGAATAATTAGGCGACGGCGCTCGTGCCCGTCGCCAGTCGCCCGAGAAGGCCCACTTGCATTCCTGTGCACTTTGCATAACGTGTCCTGCGCCTGCTTGGCCTCATCCTTCTCCTGTTGCTGGGCATTGAACAGGAACAAGTGCTTAGCCCGGGTGGAATTAGTGGGCCATGTCAACCACTTGAAAAAATACTTATAAACTGAAGAGTATTTGGATTAAGAAATGGGATTAGGATATTTATTAAGGTATATTTTTTAAAATGATCAGCTAGAATAGTCTATTTAAAATATCAGAAATAAAAATAAGGAATAAATGAAGTCAATAACATGAAAATGTTTTAAAAATAAATAAATATATTTCAGTGTAAAAAAATGTTGCGGTCAACAGTATCCACAAGGGTTGGGTGCACTCGAGCGGGGCATGCCGGCATATGTTTCTACGGAGGTGTTGCGGATGGCTCGTGGCAGGAGCACTAGCACCTGGCTGGGTGGCATAGGATAAGGGCTGTACAGGAATTTGGTAGCCCAGCTGATGGGTCTATGAAATCTCTATAAGAAAAAAATTTGATGAAGAAATATAATAATATATAATATTAAATACTGTAATGTATTGGGATACCCTTAATAAAATTGTTAGAGTTTCCATCAACAAATATAGGAACCCTAAGCTACCCTGTAATTTTGACAATAACAGAAGTCACTTCTAACTGTCATTCTATAATTATGTCGAATAGCAAACCCATTTAACTGCTTCGAATTTCTAAATAATATCCAAGAGAATGTCACGGATTCCCGTTGTAGTTCCTATTCAGCCGTATGCTGGTCCGCTGCTCATCATCAAGGATCTCATTCTGCCGGAGTCAGGTCATCCAGACCCGAATAAGACCAATAACCCGACAAAGAAGAAAGCCCGTAACTCCTTCTTCGACCGTAACAGCATTCAGATAAAATTAGCGAAACTCATAGGACAGGGCAGCCAAGGGGATGAGGGCCGTATCGCAGGGAACGATGTTCTATTGGATGCTTTTCTGGCCGCCTTGGAGACTTACATGAAATTCGTGATCACTAAGATTATAGAATTGTGCGAACATCGCTCAGGACATGCTCTCTATAACGACGATCGATGTGTGATGAAGAATGATACGAGGACCACAATGATGTTCCTCAACGATCTGGAAATGGCCGACTATGGTTCTTCGGATGATGATTCCGGTTTTTATCGCAAGCGCCGGGCGGAGACTGCCGAATACGGGAAAAGCGGTGTGGCTTTCAAATCGACCCTTGATACCGTCAGTATGGCCTTCACTCGGAAGCGTCCAGCGGAAGCCCCAGCCACAGAAGGTACTTCTAGCGTATCCAATGCCAGTTCAGGGTCTGTTGTCCCGATCCCACGACCATATGGTCAGCGTTACAAGCACTTAAATATCAGGGATGTCCTGCAGTTCATGGAGGAAAATAGACGCTACTCGCGCTCCAACATGCTCTTTGAAGCCTATTTGAAGTACAAGTCTTAGGTATTGTATTCTTGTAGTTTTGTTATATAATAAATGTAAAATAAATAAGCAAAGGATTAAAAGGCAAGAAAATGCATTGCCTCAACAAAATTAAAGAACATCAAACGTTCGTTATAGTTGGTTCCCTCTGTTAGCCTACGATCTCTTTCAGACCAAAAGAATGCCAAAAATGGACGCATTAGAGAATGTCATACCTCGTTGGTATGTGAGTTAGTTAGATTTGTTTTTTATTTTCTAAGGTTTTGATAACATTTTTCTGGGTTCAAAACTATTAGTACCATTTGCACATGCGATACGATTTCAATTGCAGCAATCGCAGTTCAATGAACTTCCTCTTCGCGTAAATCCTTAATGAAAACCCAACAAAAGCCCAAGGAAACAGGTGGTGTGTTTGGTGTGCTATATCCTTTGTTTGTTGCTGCACTTGGCATTCAATGGATCCCTCGCACCGTGCACTTTGAACTTCTGTGCTGCACTGCTGCAGACGGATGATGACAATGGAGCGGGGCACTCAAAGGAATATCCGGCCGGGACAGGAAGCATATGGGGACTGAAATCGAGTATCGAGCATATTGCGCATGCGCCGCGCGATAGGAAACGTGATTTTATCGGTGCGGCTCATTATGTTAAGTGCTGGCAATAAAATCAAAGCGCACGCGGGCGACACATTTCATTGAACTTCAATTGAAGCCGTCCCTTAGGTCTGCTCGCTCACGTATTAATTTTTTTTTGGAGACATGACCGAGGATCGTGCTTGGAACCTTCTGAGCTGGGGAGCATTAATTTCCATGTAATTGTGGGCATTCCAAAGGGGTTAGTGCGATTATAAATGCATTGAGGTTTGGAATATCTAAAAAGAATACCTGGCACAGAAATGGGACTTTAGCTGGTGCCAACCTTTGATCAGTCTTTGAGGAATATATGTTTGAGTTCTTAATGCTAACAGAATTTAAATACCAAAAAACTAAAACATAACATTCTTTTTTGAAACAATGTCCACTGTACCTCTTCCTATTATTAGATAAACCACTTGATAAGTACCTAATGCATAAACAAATTCGAACTAGACCCATCCGCAGGATCACCACCTGTCTGAGGTGCAAAGCTAGCCACCCCTATTCAATGCACCCTCAACAAAGTACTTGATACATGTTGCAACCTCAACTCGGGCGTATATCCCTTTTTCAAGGACTCGCAGGAGCACCTGGCCAGGGCTCGAGGAAAATATCAAACGCTGTCAGGCGTAAACTTGACAGGTAGACGAGCAGGAAAAGTTCACCCCCTTTTTTTGCCTTTAAACAGCGATCGGATAAAGAGGAAAAACACCCTAAAGTTGCCACTTAATAGGCACTTAAGAAAAATATATTTTAGTTTAAAAAGTTAAATATTTTTATAACTTTTTGACAGAACATAAACTCGTTGTTGGAACTAAACTTAAACCATGCTGGTAATCATTTTATGGAACCCCATTTTTTTTTCTTATTTTTCCCAATTTCTTTAGGTGTACTTCTCGCTTTTCCAGCCGGAAGAGGCAACTTTTTATGATGCAAGCAAGGTGTATTTGAACAGAGGGCCATGGCATGGAGAATTCCAGCACATGCAACACCACTAGCAGCACCACCACCGACGATCTCCGTTAGGTTCTTTATTCTATAGGTGCACCACTATCATATTTGTATAGCAGGAACACACAAAGAGTTGTTTTTGTGCGCGGGGCAGGAAAATGTGTTGCACCTTTTTTGCATAACGCTGGTTTCTGTTCCGATCCGGCGATGTAGGATATATGTCTGTCATCGTTATATTTTTAAAATGAAGACTCCGACTCTTCTTTCGCTGTAGTAGCAGCTGTGCCAATAAGCGGCCGTAAAAAATAAAAGTCCAACAAATTGTTGTTTGCCGAATGGCTTTCGGGACCGGTGTTCCATTCAGCCGGGGAAACCTGGAGGATTGGTATCGGAATTGATTGGAGCTAAGCTGCCCCGTGTTTGCCAGCCAGATAAGAAACCCAAAGGGGGTCTCCACAATGACATCTTGCTTGGGAGTTATTTACATATAATTGAGCACTCCCCTTATCTATTTAGTCATTTAAATAAACCCATTTTCGAAGGTCTCCTGCGTTCTACTTAGTGATTGTACATAAATCGTTCACGTTAAAAAGCCACGTGAAAGTTGGTGGCTTCTAAAGGGCAATCCTTGTAATTAATATAGTTCGATAAGTTAAATATGTTCAAGGGAAAGAAATTTACAAGTAACTTTCGGTATTAATGTGTTTTTTCACAGAAAAAATGGATGTAAGAAACGTAGTTCCTCAATAATGTTATTTGACATTTATGGGATCAGCTTAATAACGTTTTCAAGGTCTCAATTTTTGTAATGAATTAATTAAAAGAGGGTTTCATGCTAGGATCGTTCAAGATATTATAGACATCTCATTTAACTTATTACGTTTCTATATAATCCATGACATTTTCGACATTAAGATGTGAATTCCCACCTAAGATCGATCATAAAGGTGATGAATTGTAAAATTAGAGTATCTAAGCCTCTTCTCACACTCCTTACCAGGCAACTTGGCCTCCGTTTCTAATCCGCAACATATGCCGCGGATCTATAGGGACCACCATACCATCGGCCAACAGTGGCCACTCACAAAAGAAGCCATAAAAACACACATGGACACGTAACGATTTGCGCCGCTACAGACGGCGGCCCCAAAACTCCAACTGTTGCGTATTAGAGCTGGAACAGTGAGATCCAGGAAAAGGGGAAGCTGGAAGACCAGCCCCCGGTAAGACAATTTATGACTTTATTAACTTCAAAACGCAACCAGGCGGGCAACAAAGTGTTAAGCCACGCCGATGTTGAATCTGAAGCCAAGGCGGCAAGGCGATGAAGTTGTGTAAATGAAATTAATCTTCAATAGACACAGGGCAATAAACGAAACCAAACATCCCGAGCAGCCTCTCACTTACACTGCGAAAAAGTGTTGGTTGTATTACTTAAGACATATCTAGGGTTATTTACAAAGAAATCTTTCAACTACAATTTAATAATACAAGAACTAATCCTATTATTAATACGAGTATTATACAAAAATAAATACAAATAAATAAAATATAAAATATAAAAAAATTAGTTATAAGATTTTTCCCCTGTGTACTCAGCTATGCCATTAGTCATTAAACAATTTTTCGACTGAAGCAGCCGCTTCCATCTCCATTTTGAACTCCATCTCCTGGCGCAGTTACTGCTACGGCTGCTGCTGCTGCTGTTGCTGCGTATTTTGTCAGGTGTCATAAAAACCGAATTTATTGCGCATGTGCAGCGGCCATAAGAGCAGCGGACTTCAGCATTTTGTTACAGATTTTCAGTTTTATTATTTAATTTTCTCGTTGCGAGAGCATAAATCACGATGCGTGCCGCACTAAGGTGACAGCACTTTAGGGCACATAAACACACATCGGCAGCGGCATGGCAATGGGGATCGGAGTCCAGATCAGGATGGGATGGATGCACAACAAAACTGAGGAGCAGGTTGCTGGAATGTTAATTAAATGGGACGCGGGTAGCTCCATTTAAGGTAAGCAACATTGTCAGGGGTTTCCAAAATGAAGTTGCTATATGTTGGTGAAGGAAAGCTTCATGATGTCCAAGCCAAAGATAAAGAAAGTTAAAAAATTGTTAAAAATACTTGCTGGAAGATAAATTAACTTGAGTAATCTTAGAAATCCACCCATTGCTAAGATATCCCTACTCCTTTTTCTTCCATGTGACCCTTGAGTTTTCCTCTAGCTTCATACAGAGTTCTTGCCAAAATCCCAAAACAAAATCATTCCCAAAAACTTGAAATTCACACGCTCTCGCCTGCGGGGGTTCTTCCCTTCCAGCGAATAAAAAGAGCACGTAATGTGGTTGATTCCTTCGATGCCGAGGCCGATGCCAGTGCCGCTGCACTTGTTCCCACAAAATTCCAAGGCATAGGCAATTTCCATGAATGCCAAACAAGCAAAAATTTCACACTCACCGAAAAAAAGAGATCTCGGGAGGGACGAGGAAAAAAGAGACGAGATGAACCTGAATGAGGCAGTGAACCTGCCAGGGGCCCTGAGAAACAGGGAACCGAAATTCTCGATCTCAATTCCAGACATCAGCATAATCAACAAGATCACGCATCAAACGAGACGACAGCCGCATAAGAATGCAAACATTAAGAGATTTTATGCGAGTTTGTTCACATGCCAAAAAAAAGGAGGCAGCTTCAGAAGACACACACTCACACACACACACAAAAAAACCAAGGGGGAAACAAAAGAGCAGAACAGGTACCCAGGACGATTATCCTGTCATTCACTTGTTGCTGCCACAGGACAGGTAGAAAGGGCGGAGTCCAAGGAGCAGTAACCCCTGCAATTTCAGTTACACTTCCTGCAGATGAGGTGGTCCTGCCTTGGTTAGCGTGTGAACCTGTTTTTCTACCCAAACCCAGATTTTGGTTGCCTTTAATATTCCATCGATGCTAATCTGTGGCCTCAAATTTTTGCAAATTTCTGGTTATTTTCGCTTTTTTCTTTAATAGATCGCAACTGGGTCTTTGGAGCGGGCATTTCGTGTTTTTCGATAATTTATTACAGTTGCCCAATTGGGCCACTAAACACTTTTTTATTGTCATATTTATATTTGTGAGATTAGTTTTCCTTCTTTTGTTGCTGTTAATGTTGTTTTTTTCGTACGATTCTCTTTTTGATTTTTTCCCCTGCTATAAATTCGAATTTTAAGTCGCACGCAAAATTTATTCCCACGCATTTTCAGTTCGTGATATTTTTCGGGGCTTTTATATTTTTTTTTCATAATTTTTTTGAGAGCACAAATCAAGCGCAAAATGTAAAAAGCGACGTTTTATTGTTCTTTTTATTCGCTGGGAGCTGGACTTTATTAACAGATTTACAACTGGAAAATGTAAAGCCATTTCTGAATGGTCAATCGGGGCTGATGATACTTTGAGATACTACCTTAATATCAAAGATCTTAGTTTT